TGGCTCTCACTACGCACCTACTACGTGTCAGGCAGCAAAGCAGGTATCTGCACAATCACCCTATTCCCATCACTGCAAAGCGTTTCCATCCTGCAGCATTAGAACAAGCTCAAATTGATAGCTATTACTTAGCACGTTAAAAAATGAGCTGGGGTGATATACAATTAATTATGTGTTATTTCACTCCAATTTGAAAAAGAGAAAAAGATCGTGTGATTTCACACTGTGCTAATTAATAGGCAGAAAAAAAAGGCAATAGTTTCATTGTAACAATATCATAATCCTCCTACCCACAAAGCACAATGAAAGAATATTCCACTGAAACATCTCATTCAAAGGGCTGTTTTCCTTTATGATGATGGGAAAGGTATTTGTTGAATTCGGATGACATTGTAACTGATTTCAATGTTCTGCATAGAGGAGAAAAAACTTTCTGTTGGATACATAGTAATAAGTAACCATATAAGCATAATGCATATGTATTAGAAAGAAAGAAGGGAACAATTACTCACCCTCATATTGCTTTCCTGTCATCAGTATGGCATGTGGAGTCTGCACACAGGCCTGGCTTTGGACAGTCATCTTTACATAGTGGGAAGCCTTGTACTATGGTGTGGAAGTCCCAAACCAGTGCTGAGTGTTCCTTCTCCTTATGTCTGCTCCTCTGTCCTGACCCTCGTTTAGGCAGGAGAAAGAGGCTGAAAGGTATTTAGGAAACTAAAATATTGTAAAAAGAGATAGTGACTTGCCTCCTTCCTGAATTAGGGAGCAGAACCAGTCCTAAAACGTTTATTCTTTGAACTTGTAAGTCTGGCCCATAAGATCACGATTAAGATAGCTCAGGCTGAGAAGGTGAGTCCTGATTTGGCTAAATGAAGAATACTGTTAGAGGGGCTGGTTTTTCCCCAGAGCCAAGTCTATAGGAAGAGCAGTTGGGATTGGAGAGGGAGAAAATGCCTAGGAAAAAAGAGGTGGGGGCAGCTATGGGACGTGATTTCATCCTGAACAGGATTTTCCCTTTATAATAGTAACTCAGTGGTTCAAGCCTAGCATGTGATAACTTTCAAGCATAGGAATCAAGAATAATTAAAAACTACTCGAACTATGCATTGCTCTCTCCTACCCGCATGTTCTCTACCTCCTATCTTGCGTTCTTCATCTGGCAGTTGGTGCTCTGCCTTCAAACCTCAGCTCAAGCATCAGCAGCTCCAGGAAGTCTGACCTGCCTCCACTGCTCTACCTGCCTGGGGTGGGTGCCCCTTCACAGCTCCTGAAACACCTCACACCCATTTCCTGTTAGAGAGGGAGGAGATACCTCTGTCCTGAAGTACGGAATAACAGCCAAGTGTACTGAATCCAAAGGGCTTGTTTTAGTCTTGGCCAATAGAGGCTTCTGGACCCTTCCTCCTCTATTCTCTTTACGAGCTCCCTCTGAATGAATTGAAGCTGCTCTTCTGACTGATTCTTGAGGCCACATTGCACTGTGGGCAGGGACACTGTACCAGAAGGTAATAGGCATTCACGAGGGTCCCTTCTCTTCTTCCATCTGCTACTGGATGTGGCAGGCTGGCTCTTCTTGTCTATGTGGTTGTTTGGTTAAGTGGATTTGGGAGGCTGCCCACAGACCTGACTGTTCCTGCCACTCCCTGCCGGGATGCTGAGATCTGGTGTTGGGGCTGGGCTGCTCTAGAAGCTCAGGCCGCAGCCAGGCATCCTGACTCAGTTTAGGGCAGCCTTGCATTTGGCCTCTTTGGATACTTGCCCACCTGGTACTTTGTTCTCTGTTTGGCAATCGATTTTTAAATCTATAGCTCCTTTGTTAGGAGACTGCAAAAGGAGGTATGAGTGGAAAGGAGGCACCTAACACCAAAAACTCTAACTCTCCCTTCTCTGCACTTTCAACAATGCACTGTAATTACCTGCCTTCCTCACTAGATGGTAAACTTCCTGAGAAACTATTATTGAGCTTTATATCCCAGTCCTTAGTGCAGGGTCCAGCTTTGGGTGCTCAAATAATGGTAAGTGTGTGAATGAATGAATGGATGAATGAGTTTAGCCATTCTGGAACCTGCTTTGTCCGGCCAACCCTGTCCACCCTGCAAGTGTGCTCACCCACCTCTGTGTTGAGCTTAGCTGGTCACTCGCCCAGAATGTCCTCAATCCCAGCTCAACATTCACATTCTCCATGAAGCCCTTTCTAGCTAATTCTGACCACACTCACCCCCTTCTCTCTCTCTTTTTTGTTGTTGTTGTTAATGGAGGTACTGGGGCTTGAACCCAGGATCTCGTGCATGCTAAACAGGCACTCTATCACTGAGCTGTATCCCCACCTCTCATTCCCTTTTCTAAATGCCTTTCTCATGGTTTAGTATTTTGTTATTCTCTAATTTGTGCCACGATTATGTTCTTAACTAGGTTATTTACATCCTGATCTTGACTTACTTCTTCCATGAGACATCAGTGGGCAGGGCAAAGTTTGCAAATAGAGCAGCTGCTGTCAAGTTCCCCTAATCTGAATGAGGTGGGGAAAGTTACTTACTTTCCCTGGGCCTCAGTCTCCTCACCTGTGAAAACAGAAGGAATAATCCTCAGCTTGCATATTAAATCCCCAGCTCAAGTATTAAAAGGATCAAGATAAAAACACAGTGGCATCTGTGAAAAACTTATACACAATTTATACCTCTTAGAATGTAGAATAAAGCTAAGATCAGAGGAGAGCTTCATAAATTCTTACAGATTTACTTGATAATGACTATGTTGCTCACAGGCATCTCATTAATGAAGGTTGAATTGTTCTTACTGTAACTAGTTGGATTGTTATCATTATTTGCAATGATAGATGGGTGCTATGATGCCTTTAAACCTATTCCAGGAAGGGTCGTTAGGCTGAAAGTGTTTCTGAAATACTACTAGGGAATTTCGTGGAATATAGTTTTGCAATTTTTTTAAGTTTACTATTATTGAATTTCTTAAATCAAATTCTTGTTTCTTAGGGATGTCTTAGTCCACTTGGACTGCTGTCACAAATTACCATAGACTGAACGGCTTAAAAACAACACAGATTTATTGCTCACAGTACTGGAGGTTAGGAAGTCCAAGATCAGGGCACTGGCAGATTTGGTGTCTGGTGAGAGCCTGCTTCCTGGTTCATAGCCAACCATCTTCTGCTGTGGCCTCATATAATGAAAGGGACAAGGGACTTCTCTGAGGTCCCTTTTATAAGAGTACTAATCCCATTCATGAGGACTCTATTCTCATGACCTCATCACCCCACCTCCAAATACCATCACACTGGGGCTTAGGATTTCAACATATGAATTTGGAGGGACACAAACATTGTCTATGGCAAGGGATTTATAACCAAACACAGGAATCATCAAAACCATCATCCTTATCCATTCCCTTCTATTACTTACAAGTAACATTATCTTAACTTGAATTTTGATCCCAGTATAGACTTACATGGAAAGCTGGGCAGAATTGTCCCCATTTCATGAGTGAGAACTCAGGAGTTTAATGAATTTGAAGGTCAGAGAACCTGGGAGCCGCTGAGTCAGGGCCACACAGCTCACGTGTTGTGAAGCTTCAGTCCTTTTTCTAGCAATACGAGGGGAAGAAGCGAGAAATCGGGGCCTGAGTTCAAAGCAAAATGTAGGCTGTTTAATGGTTAGCCTTTCAGGCATTTAGATGTGGTGGAATAAGAGGTTTAAATTTTTGTTTAAAACGCAAGTCCTGGATTATCTTTCAATGGTTCGTATACATTATTCCTGTTTGCTCCGCTCCATATAACCAAGACTTCTTATCTGATGATGAACATTCGGCACATCTGTGTTGCTGCCAAATGAATCTTTGAGTCAACCTTCTTCGCATAATACTGCTTCCGTAAAGCCGGTCTCCAGATACGCTAGGTTAATAAAGAACTTTGATGTTGTGTGATACTGCATTGTGACTTACTCAACATTTTAGGATTAAAAAAAAAAACTTTACAGATTAGCATTCAGTTCAAATTGCAAAGAAACAACAGTAAGGAGAAATTTAGGAAAATCACAGAACAGTTTTATCTTAGTTTCATTAAAGGAAATGATATTTTGTAGTATCATTGACCTCACTAGCTGAAGAAACATTAGAATTCTTTTTGAACAGAGGATATTTTGTGTAAGATTCCCTAAGTCGTGATGTGTACAGGATTTTTGTAAACAGTTTTAAGGCATCGCATTAAAATATCTGTGCACCTTTTTTAGAGTGTGATTCAAAGGACAAATACAGGATGAGATTCATTTTCTTTGATTTAGAATTTACATGTAAGAATCTCATAACATTAAACTAAGCCCATGCAAATCGGTACATGAAGGCGGGGGAAAGCTTAATAACATTTAGCTAAATTAATTAACATGCCCCACGTTGTGTGAAAAAGTAATCATCCTACTCTGTGCTTCTGTTTATGCCTCAAATTCTAAAGGTAATGGCCTAAGAAAATGTATAGATGTGAGTCATCTGATACGGTAGCTGCTGGAAATGCATGGCTATTTGAGTTCAGGTAAATTAAAATTTAAAACTTAGCTCCTTATTTTTTCCTGGCTACATTCAAGTGCTCAAAAGCCACATGTGCCTAGTGACTACCACATTTGGCACAGGAGACACAGGACATGTTGCAGAAAATGCTATTACACAGCAATCCTTTCTGCTGAAGGCACAGGCTAACAAGGTTAACAAGGATGCCATATGAATAGGGGAAAAGTTCAGCAAATTGGTCCAAATTAGCATTGCCCTGTGCAATGTTTCCAAATCTTTCTGCCGTTCCACACAGAACATAGGACACCCCATGGCTGAGACTGGGTCACCACAAATCTTATCTTTATATCTTCCACAGCCAGCCTTTGAATATTAGTGATACAAACCTTGAATCTGCTACTTGAGGGAGACTGTGATTTAATGAGTAACTAAAAATAATTTTCACTATTGCAACAGCAGATTTTTCATTGAGGAGTGTACACTTTTGAATGCATGGTACTTTATTTAAACACTCATATATACAGTGATGACAAAGGGAAACTCTGTGGAGGTGAGCACAAGGGCTGCATGCAGTAGGAGAACCCGCAGACTAGTTTTACAGGATGAAATAAGGGTTGAAAAATAGGCAAAGACCGGAGCGTGATATTCACTTCCCATCACCACATGGAAGGGTCTTCCAGCCTGTCAAACACAAGAAGCAAACCTCGTAAGAAAAGCTTCCCAACTTCCTGGGAGGCTTGCAGGAGTAAGACATTCAGTTCTGAGCTGAAAGAGGATCAGAAACTGTTGAAAAGTCTCCTGTTGGCATTCTAAATAGGAGGCCAACATGTGAATATCAGAGCGAGAGACATAGGCATAATGTACAAAGACCCAGCTGAGTAGCTTTCACTCATGTTAAGGGGAGTCTCAGGCAAATCTCAGAGGGAGTATTTAAAAGGCTCTGTTTTTATCAAAGAAGTGGAAGAACTCTGCAATATTTCTGAAGATCAAAATTACAGGAATCAGACGAAACTGTAATAAGAAAGTTACTGTTATTCACCTCTGAATATGCTTCCTGTGTTTTCCTGCAAGGCTTTTTATGCGGTAAGATGTTCTTTATTAGACTATAAAGAACACTTTTAAATAAAATAGCATTCACAGGCAACTGCAAGGCTGTCAAGTTTTATCTCCTTCTGAGTGCACATGATTGAGGCTGTCAATCAGGGTGCAATTAACTCTACTTCACGCACCAACTGTGTCACAAAGCAAAGAGCAGCGGCAAGGCTGTAAGTTGGTCTGGGTGATTTTATTTCCAACCCTGAGTGGATACAGCTTATCCTAAACTTTTTACGGTGGTAAACCTCATATGCATATTCATAAAATATTAAAAAACACTGACTGCTTAGTATTTAAAAACTACCCTTAGGAGTTTTCCACCTGCATCTCTTGCATTTGCTGTTTAAGTCTGGGCTGGGGCCTCCAGGGACAAGAGCCCTGGAGCTTTATTCCAGTCCAGATTGTTGCTTCCTTCAGAGAAAACAAACCTGACAACTCTAGACACCACCTTCTCGATGGCTGGCGACTTTACAAGAGAATGGAGGAGGGAGGGCAGGAGGGAAGTGGTGGCATCCTAGGGAGAACCCCAATGAAAAGTGACATGTCGGTCACACTCGCTGAGCAAGTCTTCTAGTGACCTCTTCTGGGGAACTTGTTTCTTGATGTTGTAGAGCTCTGGGTTTAAGGCGGACAAGCCAGCACAGAAATGGATGAACCACATGCCATGTGATCTTACAGTGGGTATGGGACAGGAGAGCCAGTTATGAAAACAGAGGAGGTCCAGGCAACTTTTCACTAGCACTCTTTGTTCAGGAGGCACTAGAAGATCCCAGCCTAATGTTTGACACCTAGATATTGGAGGGCGCCTCTTCCTAAGGCAGCTCCACACTCCAAGAAAGCCTCAGGGCTCCAGACAAGCCCCTAAGAAGAATGTGTCATTGAATGTTCATTCACTGAATGCAGTAAATTATGATGTGATATCAGCTGAACTAAAATATGTCAAAAAGTAAATGGGAGCATTCCTCAGTTTACCTACAGCTTCATGTAAAACCAGGAAGACTGGAGTGAGACCCATGTGGGACATTTCCCAGGCAGTTGAGATGCTCCACATAGTGTATAAGAACTAAAGATGACCTCGGCCAGATACGGACGCTTGGTCATTTCAATGCAGAGATGGGGGCTTACTCTGTGCTCCCCCAATCTAACCCAGTTAGAAGTTCTTTATAATTTATCAGGTAAAAGTCACTTATATTTAAAAATTTTAAAGGAGCATCAAATAATTTGAGATAGAAGTATCACCCCACAGAAGTTTAGAGATTTACAAATGAGTATGTGAAAAGAAATGTCCTTCCCACCCTGCTCCCCATCCCTATTTCTACCTAAACCTTCCCTGGTCTGGAAGATCCCATCCCAACGCCTCCTCCCAGCAGCCCTCTCTGATTTCCCTTCCTTGGGCACTTGCCCTCTGCAACAATGTCCCCATACAAGCTGTTTCATACCTAGTTCTGGGACCGTTTTCTGTGTTTTCTCTCATCAGGAGGTCTGCAATCAGTGTCTCGGGGCTAGATCGTTTTCCATATCTAAAAAAGGGAGGGCAGAGGGAGTAAAAATCCTTTAAAGCAAGTTTGGAGGAACCATAAAAACCTTTAGGGAAAAAAGAAAATTTGTGGTATTAAATCTAAAAGAAGTTTTCAGTCCATCATCTGCTAATGAGTAATCTAGGTGAATGAAGCATATAATGATACAGAAACATAAATACGGTTTCAAATTTTACATATATATTTAAACTTTGCTTAAATACTTAGTAAATAACTTAGCAGATTATATAACTTAACCAAAATTCCTAGTCAACTTCTTACCTTTCTATACCATCACAACAATACATATATATACTTTTATAACTAGGTGACAAGAAATAAATTAAAATACACTGAAGTATGATTTTAAATGTTTCCATAATTAGCTATTGACATAGTCCTAGTGATACACGTCAGTTTAAATCTTAACAAAGAGACTGGATGGTATTTCAGAAACAGGCTTAGAAAGACTCAGCAGACTGAAGTTCTAGACTCACCTGTGTCTTTGAATCTCAGTTTTCCCATTTGTAAAAATAAAATCATAGCTCCTGCTTAAATTAGAGCCTGGATGAATATAATGTCCGATGTAAGTCACAATGCTATGAAAGTGACAGAGTGATGCACAAGACTGCACATTACTGCTGTTGAAATGCACCCATTCTTACAGCTGCGAACAGATCCTCGGTCCTACATTTTCTATATGTGTTTGAGGTGCCGAAATCTAAAAATCTTCTCCCATGCTGTGATTTTAATCTACCCTGTAAACATAAAGGAATCCTGCTGGTCTGTGGAAATGTTCTTGGTCTCTTTTCTCTCATAGAAGGATGTAGATAAGACAATATTTGAACGTAAGGTTATGTTTTCTTGCTAGGGTATATATGTTGCCGGCTCCCAGTGAGTGAGGACGCCGGGGTCTCTCACTCTTCCTGATAAAGGGTCTGACAAATCTGTACCAAGTAGTATTTTTTGAAGAAGCTATTTTCCCTTTTCTCAGAAAAGGCTTTGGAACGCAGCAGCTGCTTTTTTTCACAAGTGAAAAGTTAGCCTGGCACAGATTGATTAGCAGTGGAAACAGTGGAACAAAGCTGACAGAGGGTATATGTAACTGCCTATCAAGCACAATTAAGTCTGAATTTTGGGAAGTTTTTTCCTGTTATTGCTCCTTGGCTGGGACTCAAGGGATGCAAAAACAAAGCCAACTCTCCCGCCCCCATCATTTGTAAGATTTCCTCAGAGGTTTTCTGGAGTTGTGGTATCAGGCTGCTGCTTATACGGATTTATTCTGTCCATCAGTTGATTTTACCAATCTTAAATCTCTTGGGCAACCTTAACTCATTTATCTTCATCCTGCTCCAGTAAATTAAAGAACTGAAGAATATTTTCTCCAATTTACTAGTAGAGAACCTAAGTCTGTAAGACTGGAATTTGCAGTCATAAGAGTCAGTACCCAGAGAAGCACTGATGACAGTTCTTCCATCTCTAATTAATTCTGGATTATCCTTCTTCTCGACAATGCTTTAACTTTCAAAGATAGCATCTCTAGGAAAGATTCTCAAACTTGGCTGCACATTAGAACCAGCTATGAAGCTTTAAAACCCACTGTAAAGCCCAGCCCCTTCCCCACAACCCAGGAGACTGATTTAACTGGTCAGGGGCACAGCCCAGCATCGGTATATTTTAAAAGCTCCCTGAGTGATAACAACATGCAACCAGGAGGGAGAAACTCTAATCTAGGGCTGGGTTTCTCAATGTTGGCACTCTGAACATTCTGAACTGGATAATTCTTTGATGTGGAGGCTGTCCTAGGCTTTGTAGGACGTCTGGCAGCATCCCTGGTCTATACCCACTAGATGCCAGTAGTACCACCCCTACATTGTGACAACCAAAACTGTCTCCAGATGTTACTCAACGTCTTGGGGAGCGTAAAGGCAGTCCCAACTGAGAACTGCTGATTTAGGGGATTGTAAAAGCAAAATGTGGCAGACCTATGCTCTAGAATAAACGATGCTGTTTTTGGAAGCAATGAACCAGGAGTATGTAGCTTTAGAACATGAACTGAGCAGAAAAATGGAAGAAAAGAGAATGATATCAGAGAACCATTTATGCCAAATTAAAACGTATGTACACAAATGTAATCTTCAAAAATATGAACATGTGCATATGAGGGGATGTATGTGGCAGCGAGATGATAAGAGTACAGAATGGAGGTGATGGGGGCAGGTCATAAGCCTCTGATGGTTTCTAAGTAGGAATTTATATGAAGATGAGACAGAAAACTGCTTCAGGACCAATTCCTTCCCAACCAACCTGAATCCCTTCCCATGAAACTCAACTCTCTTTCCCTTATTTTCTCCTCATCAAAGGGGCTGGAGAGCACCCTGACTGCCGGTGGCACTAACACCCAAGGAAGATCAGTAGCAGGGCTCCAATTTAATCACCCCTAAAAAAAGCTTTCACGAACTATCTTAGTTTCATGATTTGTAAAACGGAGATAATTATACTCACTTCAAAGCTTTGTGGTAAAGACTGAACAAAATAATACCTAGGAAAACACTGTGAAATGCCAAAGCTTTCTACAATGGTAAAGCTTTACAGGGATCATCTTTGCAAAGTAAGTTCTACTGCATGCTCTAACAAACTAAATAACTAACAAAGGCTTTCCTAGAAAAAAAATATCTTTTTTATTTGTACAAGTTACTTTCTCTGGTCTGTATGACAGAGTAAGCAAGAATTTGAAGCAATTAACTTTCTAAAAAGTCTATTAAGATACAAAACATTCTTGCCTTTTACGATGATCAGATGTAAAATGATCAGACTTCGGGGATCATAAACCAATACCACTCAATTCTGCCACTTTCGTGTGTTTCTGATTCTACAGAAATTGGTACTTTAAAAAAAGATTTTCAGGGTGAAACAGCTTTTGATGAAACAGAAAAAAGAAAACTTTAAGAAAGATAAACTCCCCCTCCCCCCTTTGGATCCTTTCCAGCTATTCCCTGAAATATAATAAAAATAAATAAAAAAATAAAAAACCAAAACACGACACTTTACAAAACATAATTTAAATGTGTTAAATGACATCAATGATTGTAAAGGGCTCATTGCTTTTGTCTTATTAAGGTCATTTGATCTCAGTAATTACAATAAGATATTGAATGATTCAAAACTGAGAAGAATCCGTTTGGAAACAAATTTTTAAATCCTATGTTATTTGTAAAATAGTTCGGATTTGATTTTGTACTTAAGATTTGATGTTGAGAGTGAAATGTGGCCTTTCATTTTAGTTTTCTAGGGGTTCAGAATAAAGATGATAATTTCTCAAATTACATGTAATCCCTCGATTCACCCTAGAGTGAGGAGACCATTGTAAGTTTCTTCTTAATGAAGCACCAAGTGGGCATTTCCTTTTCATAATTCATCCTCTATGAAATGAAAAATGTCTCAGCATTTTAGACCAACTGTTTTCATGCTAAATCTTTACTAATTAGGACCAGGGTTTCACGTAAGGGGCTGAGACTGCAACAAAACATTGTACAGGAGGGAAAATAGCTCTAATTGTCTTTTCCAATCTATTGTCTTTCAATTCGGTCTGGACAGGTTGAAAAATCTGGCGACCCAACTGTTTCTTCCCTGGTTTGTGCTTTGTTTTCCCAGACACTGCTTGATCTTCTCCTTCCAACCCCTCCCTGGCACCCTCCTGACCCCTTTCACAAGGTACTTTTCCAACCAGGTTTCCAAATACTCCCTCAACTGCCCTAAGAACAAAAAAGACAAGGGGGTGGGTGAGAAGAGATGGTCAGCTACACCACCTGGGGAACCTGAGTCTGGGGATTAGGATTTTGTGACTGTAGTTTTAGAGGGAACGCATTCAGTGTCCCGCGCAAACATTTACTGAGACCTGAGTATGGGCCTGATACAACCTGCCCTGGGATACAAAGAATAAAAAGACAGGTTTCCTGTCGTCTAAGCTCCCAGCATCTCTGGGTGTGTAGGGAGAGCGTTCTGGAGTCGTTGGTCCCGCGTGGCCCACCTACCTCTGCCTGGTGATGAGATTTATGTAGTGTCGCAACGCGGAGTAGTATCTGGCCAAGTCCTCCGCTGGCGCGTCCTCCCCAGGATTGTCAGGCTTGGAGGGGTACGCCTCGGCAAGCGCGCCCAGACACACGAGCAGGGACAGGGCGAGGGTCAGTCCGGACAGCCCCAGTCGCTTGCTACCCAGCATCTGCGGGCACCAAAGACGCAAAGGAGGCGGGTTGGGATTCAGAGGACACATGCTCCGCATCTCCTTCCTTTGCTCCCCGGGCGCCCATCCCCTTGCTACCACCTCCCCACCCACAAACTGGCACTCGACCCAGTCACGCAAAGGCAAGCGGAGAGTGGCGGGTACCACCCCGCGGATTCAGGTCAAGATCTGCTCTGGCCCGGCCCCCCTGCTCCGCCCGAAAACTCTGAGCAACTTCGGTCAAGTAGCAGAGCCGAATCCCGCGGCAAAAGGCGCAGAGTTCGGGGAGCCCGGGCGCAAGTTTCCACACTTAAAAAACCAGATTAGAATTTCCTCCCGCTGCGTTAGGACTTAATGCTTTTCTACCTTCTTCCCCAGATAGGAAAAGTTTCTTCTTCACTACTTTTGGTTTGCCCGGCTGCAAGAACTTGACAGAGATAGTTGAGCGTAATTTAGGGTGGCAATTTGGGGGAGATGGAAGAGAACTGTGCTCGGCCAGTCTCAAATAATGGCAAGGAGCCGGTCTTCCAAGCTCCGAGAATTCCTCAGTCGGGGGCGGGGGGTGGGGGCTGCCTGGGAAACCACCCTCCAGGCGGAGACCCCCGAGGAAACTGCAAACTGCCCTGGTTTGGGGGGCGTGTTCTCCCTCCATATCCGCCAAAAGATAACCCAGAGGGACAGCCCGGAAGGTCAGGGAGAAGAAAAGGGACAAGGAGAAGCAAGTGAAATTCAGCCACCAAGAGGGGCTGGCGCGCTTCGGCGTGGGGAGGGCGCAATGTGTAGGAGTTGGGGAGTCGGCCCTCCCAGCGCCGCAGGGCTCTGCAGAAGGTGAGATGGAGCCCCGGGCAAGTTCACAGGAGCTCCCCTACCCACTTCGCTCCCGCCAAGCGTGCGGGTGCTGGCACTCACGGTGGCGAGGTGGCGAGCTGGCGCGCGGGCGCGGCTGAGCGACGAGTGCTCCGCGGTCCGGCGCGTCTCTCCGACGGGTGAGAGCCGGTGGATGGGTGTCGAGAGCAGGTTGCAACAGGGCTTTTATGATGCTCCCTCGCCGAGGCGGGAGGGGCCTCGGGCAATCACGCTCGGTGACTCCTACTCCGCAGCTTCCCGCCCCCGAGTGGCGGGGGTTGGGGGGAGGGGGCTGGAGCGGCTGCCGCACGACTGTCGGCTCCGGGAGCCACCCACACCGCAACTCTTCCGCGCCAGGCCCTGCCAGGGGAAGGGAGGGCTAGCACGAGGCGAGTGAGGCAGCGCTCTCCGAGGTCGCTGGACCACGCCAAAGCCCGAGTTCCTGCCATCCTGCTACGGCCAAACCTCCCTGTCCTTCGCGCCCCCTCTAGTCCTGCCAGAGATAGGAGCCGCCCAGAGCAACTCTGTCGCCTGTCGCCGGGGCTACCAACCAGTTGGGCGCTAGATTCGGGGGGCACCTGAATCCTCTACTTTGTGGAGCTTCTCCAGGATCTGCGCAGCAACGGCGCTGGCACAACTTTTAAGCTCTTTAGGGGTAGAAAACTTGGTGCCCGCCCGGCTTTTCCTGCACTTAAAGCAGGTCCCAGGAGCCTGGCCTAAGTCCTAAGGGGCTGAGAATAGGCTTCTGTGGCTTCGCCTCTTTTCCCAGCTTGTTTTTCTTGGAGATCAGCCCTCACCAAGAACTCCCCCAAACGCGGGGAGCCCGGTCGGTACCTGAAGAGTGTAGCGACTGAAAACTCCGCTCAGAGGCGGGACACTTTCTGTTTTTGCTGTAAAAGAGCGGAGTTTGAGGAGCGAAGAGACCCCTCAAAGCACAAACGAAAATTTTTGGTACAAAGCAACTGGGTAGTTAAATGAATAGCGATTTCTCTTTTATCTGCGCCCCGTTGCATAGTTCTACTTAGGTTCACTCAACGTTGATTGAGAATGTGGGTTCTGATTGAAATGAAAAAGGTATATATATATATTTAAAAAGTCACCATTAGTTTGCACATCGCGTTTAATTTGTTGAATGAATATGTAAGATACATAAACTATTTTTGCAGGATCAGGATTTCATGTAGTGGACTTAGGTCTTAAAGTTCCCTGAATGAATGCTTCTGAAAGTCTGAATCTTTCTGAATAAACGGCATGTTAGGAAATTGAAGCGTTGAGTTTACATTATTTTAATGTTAAAATGACAAGTGATTCTGTTAAACTGACATTTTGTTTTTGTGCTGTTTTGACAGTATTGAATTAAATATCAGTTACTGTACAGCAAGCAATCCTGAGTGTATGTATGTTAGAAATTTTGGAGACCAGCCTCCCTTTCACTTAGGTGACTGCGTCTTTCCATATTGCACAAATATATGCCAGGGACACAAATACCAGGCTCTCAGCATTGCTCAGGGATGCTTATGTCAAAGAGCCCTTGGTAAAGTTACAGCAAAACACTTTCTAACTTTGATCCCATTTTTGATAATGGGAGAGGCATCTCTGGCTGCTGAACCATTTCTCTCCTATGTTTAAAATCAAGTGTGTTTGTTTATATGTTTGTTTATTCTTAACAGTTTTGTTGAGACACAATTGAGATACACTAACCTACACGTTTATAGTATTCCACTGTGTATATTCTTACACATAGATGCCCATGAAGTCTTCACTACTATCAAGGTAATGAATGTATACATCGCCATCAAAAGTTTCCTCACATCCCTTTGTAATTCCTTCCTCCTGTCACTCCACACTCCCCTCCTCCATTGGTCTGTCTTTATAGATTTATTTGCATTTTCTGGAATTGTATAACATACAATTTGTCTGCCTTCTTTCATTCAGCATCGTTATTTTCAGATCCACCCATGTTGTTGCATGTATCAATAACTAGTTTTTTATTGCTCAGTAGTATTTCATTATATAGATGTATTTTAAACTTAAAAAAAAATCTGTTCAACTGCTCATGGACTTTGAGTTGTTTCCAGTTTGGACTACTACAAATGAAGTTTCTATAAACATGTGTTACACATTTTTGTACGAACATATGCTTTGATTTCTTTTGGGGACATAACTTGGGGGCAGAATGGCTAGATCACGTGGTGGGTGTATATTGTCCCACAGTTCACTGATGGTCTGTTTGTTTTTTTATGTTTTGCGCTTTTTTCCTGTGTGTGTTTTATTGGATACTTTCTGTTGCTATGTCTTCCAGTTGACTAATCTTTTCTTGTGCAATGTCTAATTCCTACAAAGACCATATAGCTACTATCTCTAGAATTTCAATTTGGATCTTTTTTTGTATGTCTCAGCATGTCTATTTTTTTCTCTAGCTTCTTGAATATACATTAATAATTACTTGTCTACTACTTCTATCATCAGTGTCATTTCTGTGTTACTTTGGATTGATTGATTTTCACCTCATTATGGCTTATATTTTCTTTTTTGTCTGCCTGATAATTTTGGAAAGAGTATCAGTTGTTTGTTGGATGTTTTTGTAGTCCTAAAACTATTTTTGATCTTTGTTCTGGGACATAGTTAAAAAAAATAACCACTTGGGAATAGTTTGATCCATTTCGGGTCTTGCATCTAAGATTTGGAGGTGGGAGCAGGTTTAATTTACCCCTCTTCTGAAGCAGGCACCTTCTTCTTACTTTGACTTATAGCTGATGCCCCTGAATTGTGAAACTTCCCCTCTGGCTGTTGGAATAGTCACTATCTGCATCCCTTTGTGAGCACTGGACACTGTTCCCTCTCATTCTTTTGTGCAGTTCTTTTCCTGGTCTCAGGTTTGCACGATCTGATCAGCAATCCATTAAATATTTGAGCTGGACAGTTTGCAGGTCTCCAGAGTGATGTCTTTCTTATCTAGTTCTCTACCTGTGGCTTCCGCTGACCCATCTTCCCACATTTCCAGCCCCATCTCCTCTGCCAGGCTCTGTTTTAATTCCTCCCTCAGCACTGCAGCCGGGATGATTTCTTCAGGCAGTGGGCTGAGACGCTTGTAGGGCTCCCCTCACCTGTTTCCCATTCCTAAGAGATCACTGTCCTTTGTTGCGTGATGTCCAATGTTTGGAGTGTTGGCTCATGTATTTTTGTCTGGAGTTTCAGTTGTTTCAAATGGCAAATCCAATTCCTCTTTTTCTTAACCAGAAATGAATCTCACATAGCAAGGCTTGGAGAAAAAACACGTTTCTAGTCATTGTCTCTTCTTTCACCTTTAATTTGGTCATAAAACCACAGCACCATAGGTTCTGCCTGAATCTAGCTGTGAAAGCTCTGTTGGTGAGACCTCCTAACTGCAAGCTGCACAGACCTTTACTAGTTATCTGACTTCTCCTGACTGTTGCCTACACTGGTCTCCTCTCCTTCACTTCCTTTCTCTCTGAACTGGCCACAGTCTCCTTTGCTAAATTTTCCTTCTGTACCCAAAGCCCAGCCTTAACCTTTCTAGTCTGCACACACTGAACAAGAAGACTCACCTACTCCTGTGGCTTTTGAGTCTGAAATCTCTACCTCCAGCTAAGGGCTCATACCTGAAGGGCAGTATGTCCAACTCAGATAATCTTGATCAAGCCTCAAGTTTAGAATCAAGCTACCATTAACATACATGCTTAATTTTCTAATTCCTAAATTCCACATAAAGTCCAAAACATTTTCAGAATCCTTAAATTGAACTGCAAGGCTCACATACTTTGAGCCTTACCTACGTCGTAGGTGATCTAACATAACTTTTCCCTTCATTCCCTATATTCTTGTCCATTGGCTTTCTTTCTGCTCCTTAAACAAGCTTTCAATAACCTTCCCCTCTTGGGTCTTCATTGTGCTGTGTTTTCTCTCTAAGACACTCTGTCAACTCTTTTACCTGGCCAACACTTACACATCATTCTAGTTTTACCTTGAAATGTCACTTCAGATTTCCCTAGTCCTCTGAGCTAGATTAGATCCTTTATTATAAGTTCTCAGAGGACCCTGAACTTTTCATTAATTTTCCGTAGTTACAGTTGAATTTTGGATGTATTATCTAGCTACTGTATTGATATTTGTTAATATCTGTTAACTCCATAAAAGAAGGGACAACACATTTTTTTTATTTACTTGTGTATCCCTAGTGTAATTCCTAGCACTATAATAGATCCCTAATAAATGTCTCGATCAGAATATTTTTATGAAACAGGTTAATAACTGAGTTTTAAAGGGGTCTGTTACAATTTAGAACAGAGATTGGCAAACTACAGCTTTTGAGCCACCCCTACAATAAGTTTTCCTAGAACATCACCATGCTCATTCATTTACATATTGTCTATGTCTACTTTCCTGCTGCAATGGCAAAGTTAAGAAGTTACAACAGACTGTACAACAAAGATTGTAATTTTGGCCCACAAAATTGAAAAATTTACTCTGGCTCTTTATAGAAAGTATGCAGACCTCTAATTTAGAACTTAAGTATTTTATATTAATCACAATTTGAGGGTCCTAAATAGGCCAGACTACTTCCTGCCCCAGGGCCCTTGCACATGCTCTCTCTGCTTGACACTCTCCTTTCCCCCTGACTCTTTGCCTGGCAAACTCCTACTTATCCTTCATGTTTTACTCTGCCTGTCATTTCTCCATGATCCCTCAGTCTACAATAGGTTTCTCTCCACCTCGCCTCATTGTGTGGTTCCATAGCTCCCTAAACTTTCCCTTTAAGGAGGCTTCCATAGCTGTAATTGTCTAGTTAGGTATACAGTCATATATGTTATTTGCTTGGTGTCACTAACATTTCATACGTATAAGGTCCATGAGAGCAAGGATGTGTGTTTTGTTCACCATTATATTCCTGATGTCTAGAATAATGAGTTCTGCGGAAAAAAATAATTGGCAGAGAAGAGAGATTGAAAGTGCCAATGGGAGGTCATAGGACAGCTGGGTGATAAAAGAAAGAACACTTTCTTTTACTCCACTCACAACACTTCTGAAAAGTGTGTGGGTTTTTCTATACCAAGCCCTTCTTCATTTCTCAGTGGACATCGACTGTATGTCCTAGCATTTAACTCAGTTCTGACACTAACTGCCTGGACTTCGTGCAGACCTCACAAGTTAAAGGTTCAGTCTCACCAGACTCCCTCCAACATCAGTTTGAGACAGTCTTGAGTCCGAGGTTGTCAACTATTTTTCTGGCCAACCAGCCATAAATTGGGGGTTCCCACAAACTCATCCACAGGTTCAGTAATTTGGTAGAATGGCTCGTAAAATTCATGGAAACATTTACTTATGTTTATTGGCTTATTAGAAAAGATGTTACAAATGATACAGATGAACAGCCAGATGAAGGGATCCATAGCATACA